CCCATGAGCTTGATATTATTGATCCACCACAGAGAGTACCAGTACCAATGCGGAGTGAAACAGCCCAACCCCATGTAGCTGAAGCTGCATCTTGTCCACCAACAATTCGAGTTACTGTTGCCGAATTCTTTGAACAGCCACATGATACACTTGAATTGCATGAATAAACAGTTTGATGACTTGGTCTAACGATGCTTAGCAAAATTAAGACCAATAAAAGCCAAATATTGCTTATTAGTCTGATTTGAAATACTTTCATTGATGAAATATAAAAATTTTAAATCGTATACAATTTAACAGTGTCTGATGCTCGGGTTCGTTTTTTTGCGATTATTTTTCTACTGCTCCTTTACAATTTGGAAAAAGTTCGTATAAACATCAAATTCAAAGCTAACTGTAGTTTATGCACACATGTAATATGTATCCTAGTGACGCATTTCTGTGAGTTGCGTGTTTATTTTGCGTGACTGTATCGACTCTACAAGCAAACGGCGTTGGAAAATGTTATTATGCCAAGAGCAATGTTTTCTGTTTTCCTACTGGGTTTATTTTTAACTGACATCGCGTGGAATTCAAAAGAATAAATTTTTATTTTTTTGGCGCTTAATGGAAGAAAAAATAAAAAAACATGAACTCGGTTGGGGAAAACAGCACTTCTTTTATTCTTTAGAAATGATGTTTTTGAGACCGACTTTTTGAATGAGTCCAGTCGAAAGCAGCTCGGAGAGAAAGGAAGAAACAAAAATTATGAAAAGACTGATCCGCCCTATTTTTTTTTATTCATTCGTAAGATTTCTATTCATTAATGTCATACATTGCAGTGTTCTGATAAATTCCGAGGGGGGCGTCCTTTGCAAATAATTTTTTCGCTGAAATCCTGAAAAGCGTTGCGATGTATGGTTAATGTAAATACGAATCGAGTGTTTGATAAAATTATACAGATGAAATCTATTGAAATCACAGTTTGTATGATGAAAAAGAAAAGCATTAGTTGCTTTGATATTTATCCTTCTATTGGATCCGTATATTTTTCGAAAAACTTGATAAAAGCATCAGCACATGACCAATCAGATTTGTTTTTTATTTTTATGCTTCTTGTCGTTAATCACACAAAAAAAATATACTTTGGCTGTATGAATAATTCTTCGAAAGCTTACTCATTCACATGTAAAGTTGTAATTGCATAAGATTGGAAGTAAAAGTAATATATAAAATACAAATGATTTAATCTCGGACTCGTGAATTAATAACTAGATCTTATCTTCGTGTCTAGTATATTGCAACTGAATAACACAGGTTTAAAGCAAAGCATCCATAATCGACCTTAATCGTTTTTATATGAAATGTCTTGAATATTTATCGAGTCTTACTTCTATGATTTCTTGGTGAGCAGCACCACCAGATATCCCATAGTTATGGATGAGAAGGATTCAGAATAGAACTCATTAACGAATACAGATAAATACATGGTAAAATAGTAGTTTGAACGATGGGTTCTGAGCCGTTTAGGGTCAGACCGTGTATCTACTAAGCTTAGTAAAACTAGTTTCGTTAATGACATGATGATACAGGTTGACGTAGTAGTCCACGGCAACAATTCAAATATTCGCAAGGTTTAAGTAGACTGCAGAGCAATCTGTAACACTCTCGTCATTTCCAAGACTCCAGTAAATCGCAAGTCAGACGCACCGTGAACAAAGGGCTTCGTTGAAATAATATCGTAGAAAAATAAATAGCCAAACAAATTTGATTTAAATCCTCATCGGTGAAAGTCGACTTCGGTCATATGTACCGAATTATTAACGTATCGCTCGTAATAGTGAGCAAATTGCCTAATTTACTCTCGAATGCACTCAAGTATTCATATGAATATTTCAAGCCAAAGAATGGAATGATGCTAGTATAAATTCTTTTAAAACTTCATATACGCTGGCAGAACAAATATTCTGAGATATTTCCTATTTTACACTCTTAATCATAATGACTAGAACAACTTTTGAAATATTTCAGATTAGAGAAAAATATTACTTTTCAACGGTAGACACCTATTTAGATCGACTTACATGAATATCTCAAAGTACTCCGATTGAGTCCAAACAATGAATTGACATTGGAGAAAGTCATGCTTTAGTTTTTCAACATTATGCTTTTCAAACAAATGTGACCACAATTCAATTAGCAAGAAATCCAACCCCGAGAGACTATTCAATTGGCACCAAATACAACAGACGTCTAGAATAACTACTTAACCAAACTGGAATGCCAACGCGACATCAAAATTAGCATCAGAATGAGATTACTGAACTTAATTATTAAAAATTCTCCGCAATTCTCTTGCTGATTCCGACTATATAGATAAATCGAAACGGAATAAACGAAAAATTGAAGAATTTATTTTTTGTCTTTGTTCTGAACAGCGTAAACATTTTAGATTCTTTTCTTTGCTGCTTAAATATTCTAAGCGTCATTTTATATTGATTTTCAAGTATTCTTATATTTAATTAAACTTACAACTGCAATCTTCTTGAGTTCTTTAAATGATAAATGAGCAACTAAATTAAATGCGGTAAGAACTATTGACTATTTCACACGAGATAAACTTCTTATTTGGAATCTACAATAGCATGTGTCATTTTTCCTGGATTTTAGCAAATGAACTTCATTATTATTAAGGATTAGAAAAAGGCCATTATGCATATGCAGTAATTAGTTTTAAGAAAGTGTAAACACTACTTGGATCAAAATAAGTGATTAATGGAGCATGTTCCAATTGATTTTACATTAATCTATAAAAATGAAACTCATAGAATAGATTTACATACATAAATTTTGTGCAAATACAATAATACAATGAAACTCTCGCATACCACTTAACCTCTAACCATTTGTTGTCAACTAGAATTACTAAACGAAAAGCTGTCTTAAGTGCATTCTGAACTGCGTAAAAATTTCAAGGCATACATATGAAGTTACAGTAAAACGTAGATTATTATAGCACTAAAATTCGTTTGCTTTATTCGTCCAACCTATGTCTTTTTGACTTATTAGAAATAAGTTATTTCAAATTTCATCATCATAAAACAACAAGAACTATAAATATAAACGAATCAATGACTGATAAGGTTACGTCACGTATTACTGAAAACTCGATCATTACCCAGGTCATTATCGATCCGTCGGTTCTTGTCGAGCGGGTTATAATTCCGATGTCACATGGTGATCGGATTCGGTCGGTTAATTTCTGGCGAATTCCGATGCTTTTCCTTGTTTTCTTCTGATATCTGGTTGCCGGATTCTCCGAGAACCGGTCAGATTTATATTGCCGGAAAATATCAGGTTAGATGATACGATTGGGCCGTATCCGACGTGATCCGACAATATCCGGTAACGAAACTTTACCGGAATCCGCCGTGCCGCATGACGCTCGATTTCATGGTAGATCCGGCTTAATCAGTATCACCGGAACCAATCGGATCATATCAGAACGGAACGGTCCTACTAACCGGATTAAGCCACTTACTACAACACAGATCCGACCGAAACCGTCAGTATGTAATTAACGAATACTAAAGGAACACCTTGCGATTCATTCAAACTATTACTTAACAACTCACACAAACGGTGATACCCATGAATTGAAAATTATAGTCGATCCAATAAATTTTTACGAAAAAACTATAAAAATCAGCAAAATGATCACGTATTTACTTATCCTGAGCGAAGTTATCGCCACGAATGATGTTCACTCAAGTCGTTAATCATAACTCCTACCAATATAACTTGATTCGACGACCATCTCCTGCTCTAACGCGAAATCCAGAGCCATTTATGATTACCCAGGGCGAGATAAACTTGTTACATATCCATACCATGTTAACCGTCGATACGATTCGACATCATTTGAAACGCCGAACAAACGTGTTTGCTCCGTCTCGTGCCACCGCAAGCATCCTTTCGAATTACCAACAAACCCACTTGGGGATACAAAGATATAGATTACACAAAATATAAATTAGGTCCGATAACATTATTTCGGCATCGAATATCACTCAGAATCAAATTAGCCAGGGAACACGTCTCTAGCAACAGTCCAAAACGATAATCAGAACTATTCTGCAATCCTTAGTGAATTTCTCGATTGGTCAAGGGTGGGCAGAGGACCGATTTTCCTCATAGGTAAGTGTGGTTGGATCCCACATGAAAGATGCTCAAAATCCTGTTTCATCACGAAAAGGTAAGTTGCAATGATCCAAAATGGTTATCCGAACGATTCTCCAAGTCTTAGTGACTTTTTCGATAGGCCCAGGCTCAGCTGTGGGCTCATTTTCGGCCGCGAAAAGTTTGGTTGAATCCGTAACGAAAGATGCTTAGAATCCTGTTTCATGACGAAAAGGTAGGCTTCCATGATGTAAAATAGTTATCCGAACGATTCTCAAAGTCTTAGTGAATTTTTCGATAGGCCCAGGCTCAGCTGTGGACTCATTTTCGGCCACGAAAAGTGTGGTTGCATCCATAACGAAACATGCTTGGAATCCTGCTTCACGAGGAAAATGTACGTTTCAATGATGTAAAATAGTTATGCGAACGATTCTCAAAGTCTTAGTGACTTTTTCGATAGGCCCAGGTTCAGCTTTGAACTCATTTTCGGCCCAGAAAAGCGTGGTTGCATCCGGAACGAAATATGCTTAGAATCCTATTTCACTAGGAAAATGTACGTTGAAACCATCGAGAAACATTATCCGAACGGTTCTGTACGACTGTTACAATCTTTTGATTTTTTGCAAAATGATACCTGGAGCGATGTTCTTTCAATTGTTTTCTTAACGGAAGGCCCATTTTATAGGTGTTGAAATTAATCAATCGATGAAATGTAAGTCGTGAAGATCCAGAATTACATTCGTATGCATCTTCTATTAATTATCAATGATTTCGATGGGTGCAAAATGATGCATGGAGCGATTTTCTATGAATTAATCTGCCCAATTATTACCGTTCAATGATCTTTAGAATTATAATAATTAATGACAAGGTTAGTGTTGATGATCCCGAATGACATTTAGATGCATTTTCTATTAATTATCAATGATTTCGATGCGTGCAAAATGATGCGTGGAGCGATTTTGGGTTAATTAATGTGACCAATTATTACCGTTGAATGATCTTTAGAATTATAATTATTGATGACAAAGTTATTGCTGATGATCCCGAATGACATTTAGATGCACTTTACATTAATTATGAATGATTACCATGGGTGCAAAATGATGTTTGGACCGATTTTAGTTAATTAATGTGACCAGTTACTACTCTTTAATGATGTTTAGAATTATAATAATTGATGACAAAGTTAGTGCTGATGATCCCGAATGACATTCAGATGCATTTTCTATTAATTATCAATGATTTTGATGCGTGGAAAATGATGCGTGGAGCGATTTTCTATGAATTAATCTGCCCAATTAATACCGTTCAATGATCTTTAGAATTATAATAATCGATCACAAAGTTAGTGCTGATGATCCCGAATGACATTCAGATGCATTGTCTATTAATTACCAATGATTTCGATGGGTGGAAAATGATGTCAGGGCGATGTTTTCAAGAAGTGAAATACAAGAAGATGGCGCGGTGAACTGCTTGGTTTTGTGTTTAATGAATGCGATTTGTAGTAGGTTGGCTTCGGATTATTCTAAGTGTGGGCATTAGTGAGTCAGATGTTGTTCGTTTCGGGTTAGAATTTTTTTGGGTGATTGCTGTTGGGAAAAATGTTTGTTGTGGACGCGTTTGAGCGGTGAGGGTTTGGATTGTGTTGTGGTTATTGAGCTGGCGTTATGGTTTTGGTTGGTGTGCATGTGTTTGAAGAGTATAGTTGATTCACGTTTTAATTCAAGAACGCTTGTATGAGAGATTTTTTATGAGGTCCTTGTCGTCGGAATTGGATGGAATCTGGCCAAATATGTGATGAAACTGGCAGCATCCGGTAGTCCGAGTGGATCGGTTGCGACAATGTTCGGTTGTATTATTCGGCAGAAAACGACCGGATCATTTTCCTTTGAATTCCGACAGGGTTTCCGGGAGCAAAGATTCCGGCGAAATCCCTGCGGGATCCTGGCTGATTTTAGTGGGAATCATGCCGTCTTCTGGTGTTATCCAGTGCCGGTTCCGACGGATCCCGACTGAATCCGGAGGCAGGATGGAGTGACTTGGGTACTTATCCTAGCTGAAATGTTTATTAATACCTTCTTTAATAGCACACAAATTTCTCATTATCTCCTTAAATAATAGCTATGCATCACAAGATTTAAGTTTTCATCCTATAGATAAATTTTTTTTATTAAGTCGTACTTGTTATTAATGGAAAATCACAAAATATAAAGAAGAAAACCAAAAAAAAAAAGTTGATTAATTTTATACGCAGTCAATTTTAGTTAGAATTTGAGAAAAACTGAGGTTAATTAAAGAAAAGTGCAAATTTCTATTCAATAGAAAGATAAAGGAAGTAAACTGAAGAAAGCAATTACCAAAACACTCCGAATCGAAGCTGCAACTGTGTTCGCATGTAAAGTGATAGGTCCAAAGGTCGTCGTTGGCGTTGTTGTCGTCGTTGGCGTTGTTGTCCTCGTTAGCATTGTTGTCGTGTTGTTATCATTAGAATTATTAGAGCCCGATGATGTTCCATTTGAATTGGTAGAATTAGTATTCGAATTTATCCAATCTTGAAATGCAGCAACTCGGGTATACATGCCCGAATAAGCAGCATCTGCACATCCAATACCGCTACTTGTCACACCAATTAACACCCATTGATTACTTGAGCTAAACATCATCAATGGTCCTCCTGAATCTCCTTGACAAGTATCTAGATAAATGACAAAAAATATATGTTTGTAGACGAAGAATGAGAAAGTTACCTTTGCCACCACCTGATACACCAGCACATAATTGAACAGCCCAATCAACCATCGTTGGACTACAAGTTGGTGCTTGATAAGCTACTGTTTGTACAGTCACTTGTTGAAGTGTTGTTGGGAATGAACCACCTTGACTTAATGTTCCCCATCCAACAGCTACTACCTATTAATATATATTCTAAATTTATTCTAAAAAAAATAAGATTCTCACATTTGTTCCAACTGGTGGCCACTCACCAGCCGATAGAGTAGCTTGACTAACCGATGGCATACAAATAGAACTCACATAAGGATCAGTCATTGACAACGGAGAAGACAATTTTAACAAAGCAATATCATTTACATAAGTCGCCGAGTTATAACTCGGATGTACAAAAATATTTGATGCAGTTCGCGTTTGAGTACCAACCCATCGAGTAGTTGATCCAGCATAAATAGTGTATTGTGACGGTGTTTGACTTTTGATACAATGGGCAGCAGTAATAACCCATGAGCTTGATATTATTGATCCACCACAGAGAGTACCAGTACCAATGCGGAGTGAAACAGCCCAACCCCATGTAGCTGAAGCTGCATCTTGTCCACCAACAATTCGAGTTACTGTTGCTGAATTCTTTGAACAGCCACATGATACACTTGAATTGCATGAATAAACAGTTTGATGACTTGATCTAATGATGCTTAGCAAAATCAAGATAAAAAATAGTTGAATCTTGCCAATCAATGTTATTTGAGAAACAGCCATCTGTTAAATGTAAATTAAAATTCGTATTCAGCTTGTTAGTTCTTTTCGTAATGATTCTTCTATTTCGAGTTCGTTGTGTCGAAAATATTTTACGAGCAATTCACTCTAAAAATCACCTGGCGTTTATGTACACATGCTTGTGTTAATGCATTGATTCTGCTAACAAGCGATTTTCGAAAGGTTTCTATGTGATGAAACATGTTTTGCCTTTTTTTACGCCTTTGCGTTTCCATAGGCATCATAGGATCATACACGAAAACACACATCACATCGCATCTAGAAGTTTATGAATCATTCTTTTTATGCAAAAACATCTAATTGTATTTTCACTGTCGATGCGAAAACAGAAAGAAAGAGCAGTATGTGTTCGAAAAAAGTTGTACTAGTTTTTATCGGCCGAAGTCATGATTGTCAAACAAAATGTTTGATGGAGTGAAGCCGGCATCTGCTAGGAGAGAAATGACGAAACTGCAATAACAAAACCTTTGAAAAGCACACTTAATATACTGATTTTTTCTAATAATCATATCTGTATCCTTTTCATTAATTTGAATCACGTGTTTTATTAAAACATAACTAAAATCTGTTGAAATCTCAGTTTCTATCAAGAAAAAAAAGATTAACGTTTTGGAAGGTATGTAGACAATGAACATAGCTTCCGTGTTAGATTTACCGATGCATGATCGGTTTCATTTGAATGATATGCTACTAGATTTATAACTTTAAGAAACAACAGAAATAGAATAGCTGTTAGTTTATTGTTTCTTGTACATTGATCGTCTTGATTATTCTATTTGAACATATTGCTTTCGCATCAATCTATTTATACAAACATATACTATTCTTTACTATATATTGTGTTGAATGTTAGCTGAATTTTGTTTTCGTAAAGTTCATGTAGATATTCGTTAACAAAAGGTAATACTGTGATTACAGAATATCAATGCCACACATAATTAATAAAAGAATACGTGACGAAAAAACTGAATTATTCATTAAATATTTCCTGATAGAACTTATCTTAACACATCGGCATCCCATGAGCATCTTGCGCATCGAAGAAAAATATAAATCTATGCATGGAGTGGCTTCATAAAAACAAATATCACAAAACAATATGTTTTCTAGCACATACTAAATAGCTGTAATTTTAGCAGTCGCAAAATCCACGTATCGCCACTATGAGCAGTGATACTCGTTCAATTAAGCACAATCTTAAAAAGTGGAATATCGTATTCGTTCAATGTAATATTAATATTCGATATAAAGTTGATGAATAAAAATGAATATTCATATGGCTTAGACGTTTCTCCATTCTTCTAAGCCTGAAATTTATGTGTAGAAAACATAAGCTATTGTATATAATGTGTACGAAAAATGCTACATATAAAACATTTATGAATGTTTTCTAATTTTTAAACTCAAAACAGATCGCAGCAGTAAGAAAATTAGGCGTCTAGACTGGCATGTAAAATAAGCAATATGAAAAATAATAAATAATCAATTGATGACTTTGCTGATTCTGCGTGGGAAAATAGTACGGATCCATAAGAACCATTGGTATTTGCATCTATCCATTTTTCAAAAGCAGCTACGCGAGTATAAACACCTGCATATGATGGTCGAGCACAACCTTGACCAAAACTTGTAATACCAATTAAAACCCATTGTTTACTTGAAGTGAACATCATTAGTGGTCCACCTGAATCACCTTGACAAGTATCTAATAACAGTATATCCATCATGTTAGATGACGAAAGACACAATGCAGAAATTAAGATACTAACCTTTGCCACCACCAGGTACCCCGGCACACAATTGTACCTTTTGATCAGATATCAACGAATTACAAGTGTACGATCGATAATCTACAGTTGTTAATGTAACTTGTTGTAAATATTTCGCGACTTGGCCATATTCAGAAAGTCTACCCCATCCAATTGCTATAACCTATTATCAAATATTAAAGATAAATTTTTCAAGAAATCTAAATCTTATACTGTGGTTCCACTCGTTGGAAATTCACTAGATGTTAATACACTGGAATGAACTGATGGCAAACATATGGGACTCACATTGGAATCATCCTTCATTAACGGAGAAGAGAGTCGTAAGAGAGCAATATCATTTGAATACGTAATTGGATCATAGTTAGAATGAGCAACTATCAATGAGACACTACGATTTTGAGTACCCGACCATAGAAAAGTTGATCCTGCGTAGACAGTAAATTCAGATGCTGAATAATCTTCTACACAATGTGCTGCTGTGATAATCCAAGAACTGGATAAAATTGAACCGGTACATAGCATACTATTGTTGATGGCTATTGAAACAGCCCATCCCCACGTAGCTTCACTAGCATTGTCTCCGCCGACGATACGATTCATTGATACTGGATTTGATGAACATCCGCATGTAGCTTTGAGATTACACGAATAAACAATTTGAAAGCTTAGCCGAATGGCATCGAGTAAAACTATTATTGAAAATAACATTTCACAAACAACATTTTATGTCTATGGTCCTGTTTCACTTGATCGAATGTCTGAAAAGAACAAATCGTAGTGATACAAAAGTGTAAAAGTTTTTCATAAAATCATGTTTGATTCTTCGTATTTGCATTAGTCATTTATCTCGTGCCTGAATTAAAATTTGATATATTTCTGTTTAACAATTTATCATGAATCATTTCATCTCTGTCAGTAATTTACTAACCTCTAATGATTTAACATTGATGCTTTCTAAAGTATTAACTCAGTTCATAATAGCTAGTAGACTCTATACACAACATAATGGAGAAAATCAATACTATCGAATTCTAAAACCTGTTTTTCTATTTCTCTACGAATACAATCATTGATTGAGGAGAAATTATTGTTATATTGATTTCATTTGTATGCCAATACGGTTGCGTTTTACGGCAAGTACGTGATAAACGAATTATTATACATTACTAAACTATATATAAATGTTTTTGCTCGTGCAGTTTTTCACATGTAATATGCAAATGTGAAATAAAAATATTGTATACCAAATACGATGAATTTTTATAGATATATTTTTTCAGACAAATGCTTTTTTCTTCGCATCAATCGAAAATGAAATTGAAAGCTAACAGAGGCAAATTTAGAATTATCTTCCAATTGATAGATAATTTCCGATGAAGAAAAAGAGCAGAATTATCCAATTTTTTTACATTGTTAATTACATTTGATCAAGTGATTTCAACCAATGATTAATTTTAGAATAATAAGAGGCCACAAAATCAATGAGAAAAAAAATCAATAATTGAAAATCTTGTCAAATAAATTGTTTAACTTTCTTTGCTTTAATAAAATATATTGTTTTGTTACAATCTTGCGGTTAGATGATTGTATTAAATACACCGTGTATCGTGAAGATATTTGTACAAAAATATTCTAATTTGAATAGTTAGCATCCAACACAGGCATGATGACTACATGATCTGAACTGATTTTGCAACTATCAATAAAATCGATTCTACGTCGACTTCCTTATGAGTATCAAATAAATATTTCATGATATCCTATTTTCATTCAAAAAATAAAATAGAAGCGTAGTTATTAAGCTAGTAGTGGGTTTCTCTTAGCATAGCTGCACTGTAAATATGCTCTTAATGTAAGTACACTTATCATACGGTAAAGCGTTGGTATTGATATACAGTTATATTATCATCGTCATCATTGAATTAGAAAATAATTGACCCGTTTGAACTTTAAAATTTTGTATGGGAATAACATCTTTTGGCAATAACTTTTCGTGTCTCATGAATTATTGATCTTGCTTCTTTATTGGTTAACGTTACGAGGTAATCATAACAGTTTAAGCGTAGATACAACTGCTTACATTAGCTGCTTTTAAGAGTTTATTGATTGTTATGAAATATAAGAAATATAGTTAGAGCAATAAATATTTTTATTGTTTAACTTATCCCGGTTCATATTGCATAATTAAATGAAATAAAATTCATGATTATCATGACAGTTTTCCGTATTAACTTACTATAAGTATTATAGAGCTGCTTGTGAAAATCAATATTTACATTTTAAAATTTGCGCATTCATAAATAAAGTGATTCTAATTATTCTTTAGAATTTCCTACCCTAATATACTATTCATTTACTAGTTATTTTAGGTGATCATTTTTATAAGATTAAATGCCTTGACAAAATAAGCATAACTGCGTGACTCATTCTATTTCGTTTTAATTCCTACTTCTCATCATTGTATTGTATTCCAGAATCGTATTTTTTCTTGTCATTTATAAATGCTAAGTATTATCGAGATAATACAACTATTTAACGTGTATATTACTTCAGTTTACTTTTCAAATGGATGTACACATTAGTGTCCTGCACGGGTGCAACTTTTCATACCCGGAGCCGACCCGACTGATTTTTCCCACACCCGGAACCGCCCGGACCCGGTGGCCTTACGCCCGGGCCCGAACCGGACTCGGACAACTATACCCGGTAACCGACCGGCACCCGACCGGATTGTGGTCAAAATTTTGCTAATAGTTTATTAGTGAGATGATCTCAATGAGATAAATAATCGATAATAAATAATAGATAATA